CCCGCGCGCTACGCGGGAGCGCGGCCACGCTCTCTCGCCAGTGCCGCAGTCGGTGGTTCACAGCTGTGGGAGGAACAGGAAGCGTGGGCCCTTGTCCCACCAACCCCGGGTCCGTCGCCCCCAACGCCTTGGGAGGAGTCAGTGCACCTGTGAGGCGTAACCGTGCTGCTTAACGGGCCGGGAATAGGTTCGGTAACAACGCCCATAGCGTGTTAAAAAACGGTGTGAAATCCCAACACGCACGTTTATAATCCCCAGAGAAAACCCATCTGCGCGATGGAGGCACGTCAGAAACAGGCAATGAGGAACCTGACCCCCCAGCATTTAAGCAAACGAGTAGGCTCCTTAGTGGACAGAAGCTTAGGAAAACACAGTGGTGTGTATGAAAGTCCATGTCAGCGAAGATTGGATGGTTTTATTGGGGCAATGAAATGGGGAAAAAAAAACTACATATGTATAGAGTTTTTTAACCACCCTAGGTACTGTAAGAAAGTGGATGATTTAATAGAAAATCTAGCTCAGTAACAAGCAGTTGTGAAAAACCTTGAACTCTAAGTAGCCCTATTTCGTCTTAATTTTTATTTGCTCTTGAATTCTCTAACTCTAGTAGCTGGAAGTCAGGTTACATAGTCTTTCTCCACCAAATAAGAGTGAAACAAACTCTGCACAGGAATCACATCTACCACTAAAATACAGCTGTTTTGAGGATAAAATTGCATCTATTAAGAGAAACTGAAAAATACTTAAAGACCTACAGGGCAGATTGAGAGAAATTGGATGTAAATACTCAGTTTGGAACAGAGTCAGTGTTAATACTCTGTTTCCTACATCTGCACACACATAAAACATGCTGTGGGGTTCTTTAATGAGGAGAGGTGATAAGGACTGAGGATTTATATTTCATCTGACATACAAAGTCAGAAGGATGACATACAAAATGCTAGAATATTGGTCTCATTACTATTTCAGAGAAAAGAGTGCTAGCTTCTGAATTACCAAATAAAAAAAAGAACCTACTTAAGACCATCAGCATGGAGGCTACTGAAGCATACCAGATACCCACAAAACATGCAGATCTATGGAAGATGTAAGACAAGACAAACAAAATGTTCAAGTTGTAAAATATAAGAGATTATTTGACTGGATTACATACTCTACAGATAACGTACTTTTTAACACTAAAGTGCAAAGGTGCTTCCCAGATTTAACACAGACAGACAGGCTGTGTCTAGACTGGCAAGTTTTTCCGCAAAAGCACTTGCTTTTGTGGAAAAACTTGCCAGCTGTCTACACTGGCCGCTTGAATTTCTGCAAGAACACTGACGATCTCATGTAAGATTGTCAGTGTTCTTGCGGAAATACTATGCTGCTCCCGTTCATGCAAAAAAAAAGGCCAGTGTAGACAGCTGAGATTTGTTTTGCGCAGAAAAGCCCCTGTCGCGAAAATGGCGATTGGGGGTTTCTTGCGCAAAACCGCGTCTAGATTGGCACGGATGCTTTTCTGCAAAAAGTGCTTTTGCGGAAAAGCATTCATGCCAGTCTAGACGCTCTTTTCCGCAAATGCTTTTAATGGAAAACTTTTCCGTTAAAAGCATTTCCAGAAAATCATGCCAGTCTAGACGTAGCCTCTAGATGAGAGACCGGAAGGAATAAAATAAAAAAAAGAACCTCGTTAAGACCATCAGCATAAGAGGGATAAGGGATCTTTCGGAAAAGGCTTTATTTTCTGAAAGATACGTATCTAGCCTGGCGCTTTTTTCCGGCAATGCTCCGAGCCGGAAAAAAGCGGCAGCCATTTTTATGCTAATGAAGCGGGGGGATGGGATTTAAATCCCCGCTTCATTTGCAGTTGCGATATGTCTAATTTGCATCCCTTTTACAGAAAAGGGATGTAGTCTAGACACAACCTCTCTCTCTGCCTGGAAGAGAGCACAGTTTTTCCTCTCCTTTTTTCCCAAGGGCTCATGGGAGTTGTAGTCTCTAAGGCTACATTGCAGCACAAAGGATCCTTCCAGTAAAAGTCAGAGGCTCCTATAGTAAGGGGTCTGCATGTACAATGGTGTAATCTTTAATTACCTGATCACAGACTGCTTTTCCAGACCCCTGCTTCATTCACTTAGTTATTTACTGGCATTTCTAGGATGCCTATCACCCTGCCTGGGTCTTATCCTGAACTGGAAGGATGAACAAAAACACAATCTGCCCCTGACCCCACCATGTCTCTAAGTAGGGTTGCCAGTTGTCCGGTTTTGAACCAGACAGTCCGGTATTTAAGGGTTCTTTCTGGGAAAAAATTAAGAAAATACCATACATATAAAATGTCTGGTATTTTCTAATTAGGTAAGTTTTATTCTTATTATTATCAGGAGTATCAGTATGTAGTTGCGAACTGCCTGGCTGGTAGACATGCTCACACTGCGTGAGTGTGTCTACCAGCCAGGCAATATGCAACTATGCGAAGGGGGGCGGGGCTAGGGCGGGAGGGAATCCCGGGACTGGACTTGGACTTGCCTGTGCTTCACCAGGACCCGGTGCGGGACGGGCAGCGCCCTGGGATCTGCATGTGCCTGGGTCAGTCCCGCTCCCCACTGGCTGATTCTCTTCCCCCCACGCTCCCCCCA